TATAAAAATTTTCTCAAAGCTCCTAATCTTTTAATATAAACGCAGATAATATGAACAGTGATGTCATAGTTTTAATACTAATTCCATCAAAAGTTTATGAATATTGTATTTAAATCATAATTGTTAGACTTGAAATATAATGATGCTTGAAAAAAGTGCACTGAACGAGAAATATTGTAAGTCAAACTTTTCATAGTCTTATTTTGAAGTTGCAGCAAATATAACTTTAAAATGCTTTTTCAAAACTAGACTGAATATGCTTATTATGAATTATGTTCAGATAATTAAATTAATCTTGACAGGATGAGAATAATTTCCTTGGTTTTAAGGACCACAGGGGTCTATGTAGTACATTACTCTTTCCAAAATTGGAAAAAGTTTGAACAATATGAACCAGTTAACAAGTAATTTATCCCTTTCTCTGCAGGAGAGTCAATTCTTCTTTTCTTTTCTTTGTTTTCCATTTTTTCCCTCTGAAATCACATTTATTCTGGATTCTCAGAGAGAATAAGTGTGACATATTAAACACATTCTCATTCTGTAGTTGTATAATCCCTCTGTGTATGTGCTTTCAAAATTTTAATTACAAAGTACAAACAAACCTTAGGAGGGAAAAACAATTTTTCCCCTGATATACTTAACATTTTTGAAATGCTGAAAATATAACTTGAATTCCTATTTGCAAAGAAATATATATTCATCTATTCAGCTATTATTTATTTAATATATGTCCTGTGTGAAATGCTTGCTAGGAGGTAGAATACAAATCCTGTGGTCTATCCAAGGTAACAACAGTTGAAAGGAAGTATAGCAGCAGTTTGGGTTGGCTACAAAAATTGGTAATCAAGATCAGTCAGAGGTCAGAATCAAGAGTGCATAGAGCTAACTGTGAAGATGGAAGTCAAACTAGGTGGACATGAAGGCAAGGAGTTTTACCAAAGGCCAACTAGGCAGACAAAAACTATGAAAATCAAAAGAATAAAAAGGCAAAAGAAGTTAAATGTAGAGTCACAGCAACAAAGTGATCATGGTACTGAACAAAATTCTAAAACAATTCCAGCTTCTAGTACCAGCAATGCAGTAAGAAGCAAGGAAGGCTTTAATGACTGAGATGTGGGCAAATCCATATACAGTGGGGCCTTGACTTACGAGTGTCCCGACTAACGAGTTTTTTGAGATACCAGCTGTCTCTCGGCCGATTTTTTGCATTGAGTTAACGAGCTCGGTCTCGGAACGAATTAAACTCGTAAGTCAAGGCCCCACTGTACAATATCTGTGAGCTCCATGATGTAGCTGTACTACTAGGGAAAATGTAGTGCCTGGAATTTTTTTAAAAGATATTTTTATTGATTTCAGAGAGGAAGGGGGAGGGAGAATCATTGATCGGCTGCCTTCTGCACGTCCCCAAGTGGGGATCGAACTCTGACCTCCTGGCTCATAGGTCTGACACTGAACCACTTAGCCACACTGGCCGGGCTACTGCCTACAATTTAATGGGCTCTCAACTAATACTGATTTGATGAAAAAAATAATTAACAAATCAAAGGGCAGAATATCATTTATGAAATCTACCATAAACTTTCTGCATATCTTTAGTATATTGTGTTTCTGATTTTTTGTTTAAAATTTTTCTTTATATATTGACCTCTTTTCTGGTGGTATGAAGAGTACAATAAAAGTAGTGAACATCCCTGTAAGTATTTTTATACAAAAATAATTATAGTTAGCTTGAATAAGCCTATATAATTTTCAACTTGTTACTAAAATATGTCCCTCAAAGAGCAAGCTTATGCAAATCCCTGAGGCATGAAGGTATAAGGCTGTTAGGCTGCCTGAAACAGAAAGTGTGCTTCCTTAATGATAAATTCTAGCGTATGCTACATGCCATTTTGCAATAAAATGCTTTTGCAGTACACGTAGAACACAGCTCTTAGTTCTATTAACAACTGAACTGCAATGCAGAGGAAAGTTCTGAATTGTATCTGGTAAACCCACAGCAATCCTTAGGCAGCAGATAAAGGCCAAATCTTAAAAAGTGCATTTATTTATGTTGGGAGTTATAACCTAAGTATAAGCTTTATCTCAATGAATGCATTTCACTTAAGATGATTGTTTTTTTAACAACAAAAATGTCTTTATGCCCCAGGTAACTATCCAGTTGTATAGGTTCCCTTTAGCTACCCAGTAATGGCTGCTTCTGTGATGACTTTTATGCTGTTAAGCGGACCATTAGTACTTGTGTCATTTCATAGCATCTTAATAAGAACAAATAAGCTTGCAATCAGCACAGCATAATACTGCCTCCACTATTCCTTTTCTTTCTCTGTATTCATTTAGATTTTAAGTTCAATACAGTGAAACTTATTCTGGTAGCATTTTTAGATTCATCTAGACATGTTTTATTCCACAATTAACATATAAATATGTTTAATATTTTTAAAACAAATAGCTAAATGAAGACCCAACATCCCCCAGTCTTATCTAGTTAGTTCAGTCTAGTTAGAAAACATAACCAGTCAAGCTAGAATCACTAGTCCAGAGACAACACAGGTTCATTATACATCGATTCAGTGCATGACCAAAAACTCTTACCCATTCTGACCAACGTGTCCCTGAGAGTATATTGCTGGTTCTGAGGCAAATGGGCAGTAGGGGTGACTAGCTCAGAGGACTGCCGTACATACCACTTCTCGAAAATGCAATGCAAAACACAGGCCCTGTTGCCGGAGCATCAATAACAAACCTACTATAAGGAAATACATAATCTGTTCATCTGTATAAGAATTGTTACAATGTGTAATAAGAATAATATCATTTTTGATGGATACAGACACTCTTAACTATATATACATGTTTATACATTTCCCTTGCAGGACTGTTTACAAGACATATGACACTGGCTTAAAAAATTACCCACAATTGGTGAGACATTTTGAGTATTATTTGTTGCTATTTCTTGCAGAGTATGATACCTGAAAAACACCAATTCAGAATTACATTTCTTCACAATGTCTTTCCTTTGCTTTGGAATCAACTAGAAAAGAATAAAGCTGGCACATCACTGGGGGTTGGAGTGTACACTGTCTGTGCGTGCCCTGTGTGTTCTCTGGCCCCTACACCTTCAGCCTGACTCCCGCCACCAGCATGGCACTGCCTGTTGGATTTCTTTTACGGCTGAAGGCCACCAGTGTGGGGAGTGATGCCTTCCAGGGAAAGAGCACTCAGCAAGTGGCTGAGGAGAGGTGGCCTATAACCCAGCTGCCCTCGCCACTTGTTCTGCACTGGCTCCCAGAGATCCCCCAGCACTAATGGACACTTTTTTGACTGCCTTCCCAGTTTTCCTCTTCTACCCCATGCTTCCGTCTCCTCTGATATAAACTGTGCCTTGAATCACTGTCTTTGAGAAGAACCCTAACTAAGACTTTTAAAAATTCTAATACACGAAATATCATATTTTATCTCATAGACAACTGCAAGGTAAGACAAGCAGTATTAGACTCATTTTATAGAAAAACAGACAGACTAACTTCCCCCAAATAATATACCCGGAAGAGGCAGAGCTTGGGAGGAACTCAACCTTGTTTTCTTTCCCTGTTTCTCTTTGCCTGAATACTTCAGAATAAAGGCAAAGAGTTTGCTCTTAACATAAACCTCTTTTAAGCGTGTAAAATGGCACAGATTAAATCGTTTACTAAAGAACACTATTACACCCAAACTATTTACATATCAGTCATATTTACTGATGACATTCAATATCTATAATCATTCTAAACATTAAACTATATATAGGTCACTGTGATCCTAAGCACTGGTTACTTGCATATAAAAACACTTTTATAAAGTCATCCTTGGGGTATATATGCTAGATGAGATGATATCCTTGGCTGAAAAACATGTATGACAAAATTATACTAAGGTTCTCTATAGCCCTGAACCAAGGTCTCTCTACACTCTGACACTTGGTGCCTGATGACCCTTTGTTGGTGGCTGTCCTTGGCACGGCAGAGTGTTAGGCAGCACCCTGGCCCTCCCACTAGCTCCCATTGTGGGTCCTTGCCCCACAGCTGTGACACCCTGGGAAGGAGGGGGGGGTTCATCCTTGGTTGCGTAACACGAGTTTTACAGCCCAAACATGCCTTCACTTCTTCCTGAAAGACAGCCAGTCTACGAGGGCATAACTTTTAATGTGGCCTTGGAACAGAAACTATATCTACTTTGATATTTTACAAATGAAGAAATGTTGCACGTAATGCTACAGGGTTCCAAAGTTAAACGTGTGGAAGAAATAACAGTGGCTGTGAATCTTACATTTCTAAAACATGACTTAATGGTGTTACACAGAAAGAGCCTTGGTTTTTCATGCTTTAGCCCAACAGTGGACTCTCTGATCAGCCCGTGTTCCCCACTAGGAGCTCGATAGAGCCACGAAGGCATGAGGCAGAACACAAAAGGCTCTGGTAAGAAAAGGAAAAAAAGGAGATGCCATGCCTTGTTAAATGCAGTCAGGGATTCATCAAAATGCAAAACAGGCAACAAAATTACAAAGGACAGCTATTAAGCCCAAATGCCAAAGCACAGAACTCCATTAACATCCAGATCAATTGAAATGGACACTGGCGCACCACTTTCGTGCTTATGAACTTTGAGGTTCACTTTAGGTTTTCACCAATTTGCCTACGTCTAATCCTATTTCCTCTTGTGAGCATCTATACTGCTGTGGCCATAATAAATAATAAGTAGAAAAAGTATTTTATGCATATAAATTTAATGTAGGTACATGGCTGATTTTTTTTTATCAGAATTAAAGCAGTCCTGACACTAAAAAAAGGAAAACCCAATATATATTGTATATTATGTGCACGTACATGGCAGAGGTAGCAAATGAGAAGAGAAAGAACACAGATTCACATATACAACCCTTTCTTCCTAAACACTAATTTCTGGTTCCTATATGAACAGAATTGCAGTTCAGACTATGGATGCATAGGAAGTGCACCTACCACTTGTCCATTGTGCGGGTTCTTATGAGCATAGGGAGGTCCACGGATATGATTCCACATCTGACCAGAAGTCATAGCAAAGACTATACACTGAAAGACAGGGTGCAATGTGTTTCCATTATGTAACAATCTGGCTCATTCTGTTCATATCATACAACTTGTGCTATTTTACAAAATATAGGGGAGGAAAGTACAATGTGATAACATACCAGAGATACCATGGCCCAACCAGTCTTGTTATAGATGAACTCCAAGTTGTTCCTTCTTAAATAGAGCAAACCACCAACAAGCGACACTAACAGGGCCAAAGCGATGGTGCCAGAGTAGTTGGGTGGTCTGAAGACTCGAATCTGCAAAAATTCAATGAAAACTTTAAGTGAAAGAAAAATACCAATTTTTTTCTCCTGACCACATTCTAAGTCCTTCCAATCTTCAATACAAATAATTTAGAAAGGGGACACCTTACTTTCAGACCTTGCACTAACATTCTTTTCACTCCTTACAAATCAAAAATATATACCTTGAAACATCATGGCAATGTAAAAAGTCTTGCTCTTCATTTTAGGTGACTACAGTTAAACATATGCAAAGCTACCTTTGCATATTTAACCCAGATTAATTCTGTTCTGATTAATCTAAAGAACATGGGATCATCTGGCAACGAGTAAAGGTGAGATGGGGGCATAATATTTGTATTATTTCAAATTGGGACCTTTTTAAAAAGGCTTCTTAAAAACAGTTTTATTGAGAAATAATCCACATAGCATACAATTCACTACTCAAACTGTACAATTCAGTTTAGCATATTTATTGATATATGCAACCATAAGTCAGAATCAGAAAATTAGAATAATTTCAACTGGAAGTCCCATACCCTTTAGCGTTTATTCCCTTTACACTCCCTCTAGCCCTAAGCAAACACTAGTATACTTTCTGTCGCTATAGATTTACCTATTCTGGACTTCCATATAATATGTGGTCTTTTGGTTTCTTTCCCTTAGCATAACATTTTCAAGGTTCACCCTTATTGTAGCATGTGTCCATATTTCATTTAAGGGTGAATACTCCATTGTATGTGTATACCACATTTTATTTATTCATTAACCAGTTGATAGATATTATGAATAATGCTGCTATAAACATTCTTGTACAATTTTTTGTGTGGGCATATGTTTACATTTCTCTTAGGTATAGTATATGTAGGAGCGGAATTACTGGATCATGTGGTAACTATGTTTAATAGTTTGAGAAACTGTTTTCAAAAGTGGCTGTGCTATTTTGCATTCCTACTAGTGGTGTATGAGGGTTCCAATTCTCCACTTACCAACATTTATTATCTCAATGATTTAGCCACCTTTGTGGGGGTGAATGGGTTTCTCATTGTGAGTTTGAATTGCAGTGCCCTGATGACAAGCCATCTTTTCATGTGCTTATTGGACATTTGTATACTTTCCTTGCAGAAATGTTAATTCAGATCCTTTACCCACTGTTTAAGTGATCTTTATGTTACTGAGTTGTAAGAGCCCTGTATAATAGATGTAAGTCCCTTCTAAGAAAAATGATTTGCAAATATTTTCTTCCATTCTGTGGGCTGTCTTTTCACTTTCATGATTGTGCTTTAATGAACATCAAGACTATTTTTCATAAGTAGACATACAGTGGGGCCTTGACTTACGAGTTTAATTCGTTCCGTGACGAAGCTCGTAACTCAAATTACTCGTATGTCAAATCATAAAGTGAACGAGTGAGACACGTGATGCTGGGCTGATGTTGTGGCGTTCACTGTGACGTTCGCTGCGCCAACTAGCGGTGGGGTATCTGAAGCTGGCTCGTAACCCGAATTTTAGCTCGCAACTCAAAGCAAAATATCGGCCGAGAGACGGCTCGTATCTCGAAAAACTCGTTAGTCGGGACACTCGTAAGTCAAGGCCCCACTGTAATTGGTATGAACTTGTGATTTCACAGTATGTATAGGTCTTGGTTCTACTAACATTCACCACGAAAAGAAAACAAGGCTCCTAGGAGAAATGGCTAACTGAGTGCTGGGTAGGGTAGGTAGGCAGATGCAAGATGAGCCTGAAATAGATCAGCTGGAAGTATCACACTCCCTGACCTCAAATTTTACCACAAACCTACAATAATCAAAACAGCATAGTTTTGGCAGAAAAACAGAACAAGGAACAAAACTGAGATAAACCCACACATACATGGACAAAAAAATGTTTTGATAATGGAGGCAAAAACATACAATGAAGAAAGGAAAGCCACATGCAAAAGAATAAAACTAGAATGCTTACACCAAACTGAAAAATTAAATAAGACCTGCAACAATAAAACATATAGGAAAAAAAACATTGGTACTAAACTTACACACCTTGGTCTCAACGGGGTTTTTGTGAACTTCAAATCAAGGGAAGTAGAGGCAAAAATTCACGAATGGGACTAGATCAAATTTAAAAATCTCTGCACAGTGACAGAAACCATCAACTAAATAAGGCAACAAACCAAAAGGGAGAAGATATTTGCAAAAGATACCTCCGATAAGAGTCTAATCTCTAAAATATATAAAGAACTCATACAGCTCAACACCAAACAACCCATCCAATTAAACAATGCTCAGAGGACCTGAACACACTTTTCCCATGAAGACATACAGATATATGAAAAGATGCTTAACTTCAATAGCTACAAGGGAAATAAAAATTAAAACCACAATGAGATACCACTTCACAGAATGACTGCTGGCATGACTATTCTCAAGACAAGAAGTAAGAGTTGGAAAGGATGTAGAGAAAAGGGGCTAGTTGTAAGCTGGTACAGCCTCTATGGAAAATAGTCCAGAGGTTCCTAAAATAATTAAGAATCAAGTTACCATATGACCCAGCAATCCCTCTTCTGGGTATCTACCTGAAAAAATTTGAAAACACTTTATCTATAGAGATATACATACCCCTATTCATTGCAGCGTTATTCACAACAGCAAAGCCATGGAAATAACCTAAGTGTCCTTCAACTGATGACTGGATGCGGTACATTTATAAATGGAGCGCTATTCAGTCATAGAAAGGATTAAATAATGCCATTTGCAACAAACAGATGGATCTTGAGTATATTATGCCAAGTATGTCAGGTGGAAAAGGACAAGAACCATAGGATTTTATTCATATGTGGGATATAAAATAAAGGAACAAACTCATGACACAGACAATAGCATGGTGGTTACCAGAAGGGAAGGGTCATACATAAGATGACAGAAGGAGACTAGATTTTGGATGGTGTACACACAATGCAATATACAAGTGATGTATTATAAAACTGTATGCCTGCAACTTATACAGTGATTTCCTCTTTTAAAAAAATGTTTATGGCTAAGTAGTTTATCAGTGGTCTCCAACCCTTGGTCCGCGGACCACTGGTGGTCCATGAGTCCGAAAGATTGGTGATTGCAGGTTTAAATCATCCTCGATTATTTCCTTAAGGTAAATGACATAAAATAAAGATATGACATAGAATAGTTACACCACCTTACAGTGCCAAGAACCGTTTATGTGTGGCATTTTCTCACATGGCTCATGAAAAGAAGGTGTTATCGCATTTGTACCTGCCCAAATAATAGATAAAAATTATACATCTAGCTTTTTAATTAGAAATTGATTATTAATACCACTGAGTAATATTCAGTATATTTTTAGCCTCTGAAATTACTTTGTGCCTCACATACAGTTTAATAGTTCTTAAATGATTTTTAGAATAATGATATTTTAAATTCACCTAATTTATAGCTTATAGTTATCAGACAGTTTTCTCTAAGTAAGGAAAAATGCTGCATAGGGAAATTTTAAAAGTCCTGTGGCCTTATTACAATGCCCTAACAAACCAAGCTAATTAGCCTATTATTTAAAACTGTGGAGGAGAAATACATACATGAACATCCGTTCTGTCAGCAATCCACTTTGCGAGCTGTTCAGCTGCAAATCCGATTCTTTGAAGGTCAAAAGTATCAGCTCTCTTGGGTCTGCCTTTTGGAGGGAAATGCATGAATGTAGGAGCAGAGTTCATGTTGAGCTATAAGACAGAAAATAAAATTAAATATAACATCTTTATATAGCGTTCATCTACATCTCATGTTTTTTCCTCCATGAGTTTTGGAAAGATAGCATTTATTCGAAAACCCAGTGGCTTTCCAGAACTTAATTACTGTTTTATTCACCTTAATGCACTCCTGAGTAAAAAGAACTTATAAATTAGGCTGTGTGCTGAACCTCCACATTCAACAGGCATCATTCATATTCTATCAGCTATTTCATTCTTTTCCTACCTTAAATTCTATAATTAGAGTAAAATATGAAGTAATTCAAAGTGTAAAATAGAAATATTGCAATTTGGCAGTGCATGGACTATTCGACTTCTTGAGAAAAAGTACTGGCATTTGATGAACAATGTAAATATACTAGAGGCCTGGTGCATGGCCTGGCCTACGGGGATTGGACCGAAACCAGCTCTCCAACATCTCCTGAGGGATCCTGGATTGCGAGAGGGCAGTTCTCAGGTGATGCACCCTGGAATCGGGCTTCCTCCCCTCTGGTTCCAGGCGCTTCACCTGAGAACCACAGCTGCCAAGTCACCGCAGCTCCTGCCCCCCTGGTGGTCACTGCCCATTATAGCTACTGGTCGGATTGTCACTTAGGCTTTTATATATATAGATTATGGAATTAATTTCAAACAAATTAGAAGTAGATTGACTTCTCTATTAAACTTAAAAAATGCTGATGACTGTCACAGAAGCCAACATTTTTGCTCTAAACAATCTGAATTTACCAGACTGAAGCAGAAATCCACAATGATCATCTTTTTCTGTTTAACTTCTCTATTAATTCAACTGTCTTAAAAATGGTTATATCTCATTATTATTTTCTAAAGGCAATTTCTATTTGAAAAGTGTACTGAGTAAAATACTAGTACAGTATAAATGGTGCTTATTAACAATAAAATATCTAAAAACAAATATTAGATGAATTTGCATTGAGAAGCAAACTGCAAGAATATATACAGATTAAATTCTTGCTGCCCAGGAATTATGAAAAATGTCACAAATTAAAAGCCAAGGGATTTGAGGCCATGACTTGAACTATAGATCAGCATTGCCCATAAGATCACGGTTCACACTGAGGTAAAGATCCAGCAGTGGGATGCATGTTGTGGACATTTAATGTCTGTTAAGTGGAACAAAACACAGTCACAGGTTCCTTTCTTCCCTGTTTTCTCCCACTCCTGACTGTGTTCATGTATGTTTCCCTGATAGACAGATGCACAAGAGATAGCTACAGCCAACATGGAAATACACGTGGGAATATATGATTTCAAGGAAGAAATTCCCGGCAGTGGAACAATCACAAAACCCAAACTAAGGCTTAACATCCTAGAATTTCAGAGTAAAAAAAAAAATCATATAATTCAAAGTTTTCATCTTAATTAAAATGTACAAATTCCCCAAGGCTACGATAAAGCAGGTTACAATACAGGCCTGATTTCTCGTGCAGAGCTCCTCCTAACACACCATAGTCATTAACTCTGTGGCCTGTTGTCAGGCACTTAGCCTCAGCCATTGCACGGGAATCACATATAATTGAAGTTACTTGCCCAGCAGGTCCCCGGCGTGCCAAGAATTGCCAAATTTCTGCACTTGTTATTAATATTGTATTCCAACACCACAATACTGCTGACAGTGCTTTAAAGCATCAGTTTAGAGAAAGTACTTCAACAAAATGTGACTCAATAATCGATGAGAAAAAGAAACATAAGCATTAAAAATCTTTTAGTGGTTCTCATGTCAAACAAAATATATAATTCTGTTTTTGTGTGGATTATAATTACCCATAAAAATCATTAACTGCTATAACTTTTATGCGTTTCTGCATTTAAACATGAAGACTCATTGCTAAGCCAGGGGCTAGGTTTTGGAAAAGACAAAGCGGTTCTATATTCGTAATTCTGCTGAATCAAAATTAGCCTGAGGAAATTTTGCAATTTAAAACAATCTTGACTTCAGCTCTCATATCTATGCCAAACTTAAAGTTTAAAGCATATAATATAAAAGATTTCAATGATTATCTCTAACCACACAGCCATCTGGTTATATACTGGCAGCCTATAGTCAGTACCGGCACAAAAATAGGCTGACTTGGTCTCACAGGTTTGTTTCATCTGAATTAGCTGCCAGTATTTTAAAGATAGAGAGATTGTATTTAGATCTCTTCTTGAAAACCACATCTAGATGTGGCTTGCATTTCTTCAGTCCTGGAGCTGGGCTGTGTCTCCTCAGTTTTCTGCAGTCCCCACCCACACCACACTGTTTCCTCAACAGTGAGCCCAAGGATCAGCTGCTTGGCCTGTAGCTGTTTATTTCTTACAGTAGTTAGGAGAACAGTGAAATATCTGGCTCCATTAAAGATCTAATTTTTTAAAAGACCAAGAAAGTCTTTGTTGAAATAAATATAGGAGAGAGCATATTTACTCATACACATGAAGAATTAATGTGTGAAATATGCTAAGTATGTACATAAACAAAGATACCATAACAAAATGACACTAACCCAACCTACTCTCTTTGCTTAGTTTACAGCCTGTCCAGGACAGACATTTGAGCTTGAAACTTTTGCTCTAGCAGTTAGATTGGAGCTGGATGACTATTGCCTATATATGGTAGAGAGGAGTCACGTATATAATGAAGAGTACTTTCATCTGACGACCTCTAAGAACAATTATGAGATTCTATAGAGACCTATAAATTACAGGAAAGAATATTTGGCTCTTATAGTATTGTAATAGTACTGTAATTTTCCTTTATAAGGAAATTCATTGCTCAATATGTGTTTGAATATATGAACAAAAATAAATATCCGCAAAATAAGCTTACGGAGAAAGAAATAAGTAAAGAATACTAAAGAAAGACCAAGGCAAAAGAGGAAATTTATCTTATTCAACTAGAAACTGGCAAAGAATAAATAATTAATCAACCTCGGAGCAAATAAGCAAAAAAACTCACTAATGACCCTTTACAGTTAGTGAACTAGACTCCTTACAAAACTAAATGCTGTCCCATGACCTGGCAAAGCATTATGCCGGAGTGTCATATATGAGGAAAATAAAATAGATCAAGATACACAAACTAATCAATGCCTGGCACTGCAAGAAGTTTTACATTTGAAAGGCACTGATCAAGCAGTGATAAACATAAAGCATTAATAACTGCAGGGTAAGAGGAACTCTGGGAACCAGTTCAGCACTTAAATTCTAGTTCCATATTACACTAGCTTTATAACCTCCAACAAGTGACTGCACCTTGCCATACCTTAAGTTCCTGATCTGTGAAATACAGTTAACAGTACCTTTCTCAGTGGGTCATTGGGAAGCTAAATGAAAGAATATACGTGAAGCATTAAAAAGAGTCCTTGGAACATAAGTACTCGAAGTTAGCAATGACAATGACACAAATTGATGACAACTAGCATACTTATACCACAATGCTGTACCTTGCTCTATGGAGAAGACTGGATGACAACCTATTAGTCTGCTCGGGTTGCTGTAACACACAGAGATGGGGTGGCTTATATGACAGAAGCTTATTTCCTCACAGTTCTGAAGGCTGAAAGTCTAAGATCGAGGCTCCAGGAATATTTGTTGCTAGTCAGACCTGTCTTCCTGGTTGGAAGATGGTCACCTCCTTTATGTCCTCACATGGCTTTATCTCTGTGCACATATACTCCTCGTGTCTCTTCCTCACAACCAGATCCAGGAGGTGGTGTCTTCCTTAGACACCAGTTTAAGGAGGTAATTAGGGTTAAATGAGGACCTACTGGATTAGGGTCCCATCTTTATGACCTCATTTTATGTTTAATAAATTAGGGTTAAATGAGGACCTACTGGATTAGGGTCCCCTAATGACCTCATTTTATGTTTAATTTCCTCTGTAAGGTCCCTGTCTCCAAAAAATGGTCACATTGGGGTTAGGGCTTCAACATATGAATTTGGGAGGGACACTATTTGGTCTACTTTTCAAAAAATATTTAATATTTTGTATATAAAACTATATCTGCCATATGGAAAGAAGTAAAGATTAAAACATTGAATTTTAGATAAAAGTTCATACTTTTATGCACAATATTACCTTAAACTACAGACAATTAAATATCAAAATAAGGTTAATACATGTAACCTGCCATTGTATGCTGACAAAACACATTTCCTCCACAATCCAAAAGTTAAAATGTGTTTACCATACTTGCTAATGGCAAACACTACTCAAAGATAAAAATAACATTAGCTGTATTTTAATCCCAACAAACAATTCATTATAACTGCTACTGTATTTATTAACTTACTTAATAAATAGTATGTTTATCGGGCAAACAAAACGTATCAACCATAACCAACTCTATTAAAGATGTTAGCAAACGAAAATATAACTTTTACCTGTTGAAAAACATCCGTCCCCTCATCATAGTCCACCATACTGAAGAAGAGTTTGTTACAGAAAGCAGATGAATAGCGCCAGGAATTAGCCAGGATTTGATATTCTTCATTAGCTTGCCTGATAAGAACAACGAAGCAGAGCAGAAACATCAGTATTCAAGCACTAACAAAGCTGTTAATAAAACAGGCAATTCTAGGGGAAGAGGTGGCCAGTTTTTGTATGAAAAGCAAGCTAAGACTATATTTTATATTTTTAATTGGTCGTAGAAAATAAAAAGGTGAAATATTCCATGATGTGAAAATTACATAAAATTCAAATTTTATTGTTAATTAATAAAGGTTTACTGCTATAGAGCCACATGAGACATGGACATATTTTTTTTCTGGCTGCTGAAGTGTAATAATTGTAACCAAAACTGCGTGGCCAAAAGCTCATCCTGGCACTTTCAAAAACAAGTTTAACAACTCTTACTCTAGACGTCTAGAGGGTAAAATCATTTTGCGGCATCTCCTATATATATTTAAATTTTCTGATAACTTTTAGTAAAAGGCATAAAGCTATTTTTAAGAATATTTGCAATTCACTTTAACAGAAAAACAATAGACATAAGAACACTTTAAAACTGTAAACAGTTATACTACACCTTTTTATATCCCATTTATCTAAAAATGCATTTACATTCAAACCTAAAAGTAATAAAAAAAAAAAAGGCACAAAGAAACCAATGACACAAACAAGCCTCCTCTAAGAGCATATTTACTTCTATTTTCAATTAATTTCTATTGGACATTTTGTTGATTTTCCAGATAATAAAGCTCTATATTTAGGTGTAGGGATGGAAACTGAAATGGTGTTGTTGGAAGGATGTAAGCATAGTAATTGAATAAAAAGACAGTAAGTGATTGCTAAAATGTTAATAAAAAGGGTTCTTCTTCCATACAGTAGTAGCTGATTTCTCAGAGGAGTTTTGGGGAGTCCCTCACCTAAAAATGGAAGTAAAGAAATAAAAGAGTATACTATCACAATAACAACAAGCCTTCAAATAACAGCTGCAGATAAGAGATTTCAAAAATATCTGGAAACAAGTTAATGTACTAGTAAAAGTTCTGATGGAGAAAGCCACACTCTCAAAGGACACTGAGGTGCATGACCAAGCTAAGAAAATACTGGATCAGAAGCAGCAGAGACAGGGTCTGAGATGTTATCTTGATAATTAACAAGCTAGCCTGTAGACTTTCATGGATGCTGGTAGAACACATGAGACTCCTGGGTCAGAGACAAAGGACATTATTACTTCATGTTATTTGCATCAATTCCCTGTGCCCCCGCGCCTCACAGAGTGACACAAAAGGATATTTGTGGATGCCTGCACACACAAAAGACAGTGTTACCAGAGAGGAATGCTGAGTTTGTGGGACTTACTGGTTTTATAGCGAGTGATAACAGGGGAGACATGAGCTCACTCCTTAAGGCTTGTCCCTGCACACACAACACTTTGAATTATTGGTCTATGCAGTGAGAACATGCAAGGATGCTGGGGCCCACTGCAGACTGCTTCTCCCAAATGTAGTCACACACACAAAGAACAATATAATGTAAAGAGGGAACAAAGAAAATAAGAAAGCACTTACAAATTTTAAATATGACTGTTCAACCTAAATACCAATATCAGAAGATGGAGATCAGTAAAATTCACAGAACAAAAAGTGACACAGGTGGACTCTATTGAGGGTAGGGAGAGGAAGGGACCTAGAGATTTAATCCAGTAAAGACAAATTTCAAGAAGAAAGGGATGGAGAGTGAAAAGAGAGACAAAGTAAAGGGAATATTTCTGGATACGTAACACAATTCAAGGACACTAAGTCTTCAAATTAAAATTATTTCCCAGGTTCTGAGTAAGAGGAATAAGAAAAGACCAACACCTATATATATTATGACATTTCAGAACATTATGGATAAAAAAGAAGATTCTAAAAGGTTTCAAAATAAAAACATATGTAACAAAGGCTACCAAGGAGAATGGGATTGGACTGGTTATTAGCAACACTAGATAACAGGACAATTCCTTCAAAGTTTTGAGGGCATGGTTTTTTTTTCAATCTTAAATTCTATATCAAAATAATTAAGTTTGAAATAAATGTGTTCTAAGGAATCTAAGAAATGTGAGAACACCTTAGCATATAATTGATAAAAAGGTACATGAATAAAAAGAAAAGAAGAAAACCTGAGACTATGTCAGAAGCTCTAAAAGGTAGAGAATAGAGCAGCTAGAAGTATGGTCAGGTAGGAAGAGTGGAAGATATATAAGAAGGCTCTGAAGTACAATTTAGAACAGGACTTTACTTGGCCTTCAAGATGAAGAGAATAGATTCTAAGCAATCATTAGAATCAGAAAGAGTTGGAAGATACTAAGACTATAGTAAGACATTTGGTCCCACAACAAGAAAAACGACAATGGAATGAACATAAAAGGTAAGATATAAATGTAAAGCAAATTAAAATGTATCATAATTTTGATTAACTGATGATGAAAAAAGGTTAATTATTTTTAACAATTTCTTTTCAGTGGAACAGGGGACATAAACAATGGTGCTATAGAAAAGGAACCCTAATTATAACCTACTACTTTGCAGTCAATGCTATTTTTCTACAAATAATATAAATGCTGCCTACTACCTTTCAACTTTCTAAATAAACCTATACACAGAGTACAGACATAATTACAGTTACAGTACAGAATGTAAATGCTATCAACTATGACAACATGTAAGTACAGTGACCACAACTTGGTAGGTAAAAGGGAAGAAGGGGAGGTGATGGGAAAGGGTGCACCTGTTGATCTTCATGTTATGAAGGAATCAAGAGATATCACTTATAGTTAATGGACACGAAAAGAAGAATATAATAGTAAAAAAAAATAAAAAGCTACAAAAATGATAAGGGGTGAAATGAGTTAAATCCTCACCCATCACAGCAAGAAATGTAAAGATCAAGTCTTTGTAGGAAATTAATATGAGTATTATGAAATACTGTTATAAGAATAACTTTTAGAGATATGAAAAAAATCACCAGAAAAAAATACAAAGGGATACTAGTGATTGCCTGTGGCCAAGATTGCAGATGAGCACAAGGGAATGTAGTTGTTCATTGTAGGCCCTTTTTCCATTAAAAGGAGCGCATAGTAATTCTGTGATTAAAATATATATTTAAAATGGCTACATATGAACAGGGCTATAATCTGAGGTCATTTACCTTAAGGGCATCATTTTATTAGAGCATAGTCTAAAAATTGACCATTGTAATGATTAGCTTAGGACTGCATTGTAATCAGTAGGCAGAAAATTATATAGTATGTTTTTAGAATATGTACAATGAAAATAGTTACAAACTTTTAAAGTTTCGGTTGTTAAATAAGATTTAATTGTAATTCACTGAAAAAGCATTTACTGAGCACCTAAAAGCAGGAAGTAAGCTAATCTTCAAGGTCTGCTCTCAAAGAGTTGGTTTTTTTAGTGGGAAGACATAATAAACAACCAAAATAAAATACATACAAATAATTAAAAGCTAAAATATGCACTGAGGAGAAAATGCAGTGAATGATATTATAGGAAATAAGGAGGACCTACTTACATGGTATGGTCATAAAAGGTTGCTCACATGAAGTGACAGTAAAGCTCAAATCCCAAGGACTGAAAGCTAGAGAATGGACAGTTCAGAGAGCAGGAACCAAGCCCAGAAGCCTGCAGAGGGAAAGCACTTCAGATGCTGGCAACTGATGCTGGGTATGAATGGGAACACCTCCGTCTACTGGAGGAATGCACAGCCTACAGTCTCTCTCACTCCACATAAAACAGGGCCTCCCTCCTCTTCCAACACTAAAATAAAAATGAGTTAAAAGCAACAGGTGCCCTAAAATCTGATCTGATTTTTGTGTCACGTGGAATACATACAATATTACTGGTAAGTACTCATCACTGATTTTCAAAGAAAAAATGTATAATAACCACACAGTGACTTGACCCTGACAATGGAGTAGGTCTGAGCCTCTTTGCATACTAATAAACCTTTAAGAGACCAATGCTACCTTAAAAAAATCATTAGAAGAATGGAATTATAGTAAAAAAAAAAAACTATATAATTTTACACCAAAATAATTTTTCTTTTAAAATATAACTTAGGGAAATAGCAAATCAGCAAAAAAAAATGGCATTTTTTATGATATTCTAAGAAATGAAAATGCTTTGTTCTGAAAAAATACGCAGGGAGAATCAAATTTTAGTATTCAACATCTGTGTATAGTATCTAATGGAATTACATAAAACAGAGATAATGTTCAATTTCTTTTCCTCATAAGGTTCGAACCTAACACAGACCTACTAGACCAGTGATGGCGAACCTATGACACGCGTGTCAGAGGTGACACACAAACTCATTTTTTGGTTGATTTTTCTTTGTTAACTGGCATTTAAATATATAAAATAAATATCAAAAATATAAGTCTTTGTTTTACTATGGTTGCAAATATCAAAAAATTTCTATATGTGACACGGCACCAGAGTTAAGTTAGGGTTTTTCAAAATGCTGACACACCGAGCTCAAAAGGTTCGCCATCACTGTACTAGACTCTACTACGCATACATTCACGCACTCGTTAATTCACTCCACAAATACACAGGAGTGCCAACAACCTGTCAGCTGATGCAGGAGTGAATAGTGTATGCAAGGTCCCTGATCTCAGGGAGAAAAAAATGCCAGTGAGAAAAGGAAACACAAAATTTCAGATAGTCCCAAGTACTCTGGGGAAAATAATAAAATGAGATAAGGAATATTGATGAGTCAAAGAGAATGACTTCATTTTTCCTTCAAACTCTGTATCATCCACTTTTTCAGCATGACTTCTCAATGATCAATCTATCATCTGTTCCAAAATCCTGAAAGTGTCCCAATGCCTGCATCATAAAGACAACAGGCAGAGTAGAAGACAAGATCCTCCATCCCCGGGGCACAACTCATGTCTACTATCTATGTCTCTATGAACATACCGTACTCAAAGGGCCTCTCTGTTGTATGACATCCCATGCTCATTCTTTAAGCATTAAATCCTTTGTTTGGAATGC